TCGCAATGGTTCAAAAGAACGGAGTCGATCTTCGAGATCTGCTCCTGCCCAGAAGGAAGCAAAGTAAAGTTTGTTGCCTGCACTTTCTCCGAAAGGGCCCTGACATGGTGGAATGGCCATGTCACGTCACTCACCCTGGTAGTAGCTAACACAATGGGCTGGAAGACACTGAAGGACCTGATGACAAAGGAGTATTGCCCGAGGGGTGAAGTTCAAAAACTCGAGGAAGAACTTTGTAGCCTTAAGATGAAAGGTTCTGATATAGTGGCCTATACAACCAGATTCAACGATCTGGTGACTCTATGTCCCAATATGGTCCCCACCAAAAGCAGGAAGATCGAGAGATACATCTGGGGTTTAGTACCCCCCATATCAGGGAAACATTATGGCATCAAACCCTGCAACCTTTGACAGTGCCAAGCAACTGGCCCAAATACTTATCGACCATGGGGTCCATCCTCCAACAATAACTACAACTACTGTCTCAACACTAGCCAGAACGACCGACAACAAGAGGAAGCGTTGGGACAGAAAGAAAGACAAATCAACTCAACCTTCTTCCAAGAACCAACAGATTGTTATTGTTCGTGCTACCACGATCCCTGTTGCCCATGCACCAGCAAAGCAATATGCAGGGAGTTTACCCAAGTGCACCAAGTGAAATTTCCACCACAACAGCCCCTGCCGGGAGATGCACCGCACCAACTACGACAGGAAGGGCCATACTATCCGGTTTTGCAAAGCACTACCTAGACCAATCACCCAGGTCCCTCGTACAGGAGTAAGCCAGGCTTGCTATGGGTGTGGCGAGATAGGGAATGTAGGCAGAGCGGGAAGACTACTTTCTATTTGTCACAATGAAGCCGTGGCAGACCCTACGGTGTTCACAGGTACGTTTCTCCTCGATAACTCATATGCATGTGTCCTATTTGATAGTGGGACGGAAAGGAGTTTCGTGAACCAAAATTTTTAACACTTACTTAATCAAGCACCGCAAGCACTAAAAGAAACCTTCGTCGTAGAAATGGCTAACAGAAAGACCAAGAGCTCTAACGAGATTTACCTAGGTTGTACCCTCATGCTAGATAGCTATTCATTTCCGATTGACCTCGTGCCTGTGTTAATTAAGAGTTTCGACGTCATTGTGGGCATGGACTGGTTGAGTCTCCATCATGTCGATATTTTGTGTTTCGAGAAAGCAGTCCATCTAAATCTACCAAGTAGCAAAACTTTAGTGATCTACGACGACAAACCAAGTGAGAACCTTCGTATCATCTCGAGCATGCAAGCCCATAAGTACCTACGAAAGGAATATCGTGCATTCCTTGCTCATATAGTCGATGTGAGCCAAGAAACGAAAGACCTAAAAGACATTCCATTAGTGCGCGACTTTCCCAACATCTTTCCAGAAGAGCTACCATGATTACCACCTCAACATCAAGTCGAGTTCAAAATCAACTTAGTCCTACCCCCGTAGCAAAATCGCCCTATCGTTTAGCACCAGCTGAGATGCAGGAACTGTCCAGACAACTGAACGAACTACTCAGCAAGGGCTTTATTAGACCAAGCTTCTCATATTGTGGAGCACTAGTCTTGTTCGTGAAGAAGAAAGACAGATCGTTCCGAATGTGCATCGATTACAGAGAACTGAACAAGCTTACTGTCAAGAATCACTACCCTCTACCTCGAATATACGAATTGTTCGATCAACTCCAAGGAGCGAGCTACTTTTCAAAAATTGATTTAAGATCCATGTATCACCAGTTGCGAGTGCTAGAGGAAGATGTTCCCAAAACAACCTTTCGAACTCACTATGGTCACTACGAGTTTATAGTGATGTCGTTCGGATTGACCAATGCACCTGCAATATTCATCGACTTAATGAATAGGGTGTGTCGTCCTTACTTGGATCAGTTCATCATTGTATTCATCGATGGCATACTTATTTACTCTCGTAGTAAGGAGGAGCATAACAAACATCTATGACAAGTCTTGCAAACATTGCGAACAGAGAAACTTTACGCGAAGTTCTCTAAATGCGAATTTTGGATCTGAAGAGTCGAATTCTTGGGTCACGTGGTTAGCGAAGAGGGAATACACGTGGAACCTTCCAAAATTAAATCCATTGAGAACTGGTCAACACCGAACACGCCTACCAAAATTCATCAATTTCTAGGCCTCGCTGGCTACTATCGCAGGTTTAATCAGAATTTCTCTAGGATAGCAAAACTACTCACTACATTGACCCAGAAAGGTGTGGCCTTTAACTGGGAAGAAAAACAAGAAAAAGCATTCCAAGCGCTGAAACAAGCCTTATGCAACGCACCGATACTCTCCCTCCCAGAAGGGATAAAAGACTTTGTGGTTCATTGTGATGCATCCAACCAAGGTCTTGGTTGTGTTCTTATGCAACGAGGTAAGGTGACCACCTATGCCTCAAGACAGCTAAAGACACACAAAGTCAACTACACCATGCATGATCTGGAGTTAGGAGCAGTGGTATTTTCTATGAAGAGCTGGAGACACTACATGTATGGTCACAAGAGCCTTCAACATATATTCGACCAAAAGGAGCTCAATATGAGACAACGATGGTGGGTAGAGCTATTTAATGACTATGAAAGTGAAATTCTCTATCATCCCGGTAAAGCCAACGTAGTAGTTGACGCCCTAAGTCGGAAGGAATACTATGGTCGTAGAGTCAAATCATTGACTATGGCTATCCATTCACATCTGTCCACACAAATTAAGGAGGCTCAACTGGAAGCTTTGAAGCCCGAAAATGTGGAGGGTGAATCCCTAAGAGGGATGGATAAAAACCTAGAAGTCAAGGATGGCGGAGCCTTATATCTCATGGACCGGATCTGGACACCGAAGCATGGTAGTCTTAAAGACTTAGTCATAACTGAAGCACACAACACTTGGTATTCCGTCCACCCAATTTCAAATAAGATGTATCTGGATCTCAAAAAGTTATATTGTTGGCCTAACATGAAAGCAGAGATTGCTACCTTCATGAGTAAATGTCTTGCTTGCACCAAAGTGAAGATCGAATACCAGAAACCCACAGGTTTACTAAAACAATCGGAGATACCGGAATGGAAGTGGGAGCGGATCACAATGGACTTCATAACCAAATTACCCAAGACAACGGGTGGTCTTGATACCATTTGGGTGATCGTGGACAGGTTAACAAAGTCCGCACACTTCCTGCCTATCAAGGAAACTGACAAGATGGAGAAACTAACGAGAACCTACATTAGGGAGATCGTACGACTGCATGGTGTTACCATATCCATTATCTCTGATATAGATAGTAGAATCACTTCAAGGTTCTCGCAGTCGCTACAAAGTTCCCTAGGAACTAGACTGGACATCAGTACAACCTACCATCCATAAACCGACGGATAAAGTGAGAGAACTATTCAAACTTTGGAAGATATGTTGCGAGCCTAGGTGATAGACTTTGGGAAGACATGGGATACTCATTTACCCCTTGTCGAGTCCTCTTACAATAACAGTTATCATACGAGCATAAAAGGCTGCTCCATTTGAAGCCCTTTACGGCCGAAAGTGCAGATCCCCTCAGTGTTGGACTGAGGTGGGTGACACCCAATTAGCTAAAGGACAAGTTCCTGACAGTACTCTCACAGGTCCGGAGATCATTCGGGAAACGGCAGAGAAGATCGTTCAAATTCGGGAATGATTAAAAGCCTCTAGAGACTGACAGAAAAGTGACACAGACAAGATAAGGAAACCTTTGGAATTCCAGGTTGGTAACCGTGTCCTTTTGAAGGTCTCGCCCTGGAAGGGCTTGATACGCTTCGGAAAGCGTGGAAAGCTAAATCCAAGATATGCAGGGCCTTTCGAGATTATCGCTAGAATAGGCCCCGTAGCTTACAAACTCAAACTACCTCATGAACTTAGTAACGTACACCATACCTTCCACATCTTGAACTTCCAAAAGTGTCTATCCGATGAGACTCTTGTAATCCTACTCGACAAGATCGAGATCAACGAGAGCCTCAACTTCGTGGAAGAACCAGTAGAGATCATGGACTGAGAGGTCAAGCAAACGAAGCAAAGTCGTATCCCGATAGTAAAAGTTCGTTGGAATGCCAAGCGGGGGCCTGAAATCACTTGGGAACGCGAGGATCAAATGAAACTGAAATACCCTCATCTTTTTACTTAGTATTTGTAATTGTATAAAACTCTAAATTTCGGGATGAAATTCCCTTTAACGGGGGGATGATATGACAACCCGAAATCCCGCTTTGTAAAGTCAATCAATTCAATCCAAAGTCCAACTTGTTTCTGCTACCTTTTAGCCATATTAAAGGATTTTTTGAGAGTTTCTAACCTTCTTGTAGTGTATGAATGGGTGTTAGAATATTTTTACTAGAGGTTGGAGGGATTGACTCGGTCCGGAAAACCATTCACAAGTTGTGTACGACCATACACCACCCTCTCTCTCTCTCTATATATATATATATATATATATATATATATATATATATATATATATGGTGCTCATTTTATTCTCATTTTTCCTCCTCCCAACCATGATCACTCCCATTCTCTCTCAACTATCATAGGCCGTGAACACCCCAAGGCTCCAAAAACGTAAGTATTTCAACATTAAACTTGTTATGCTTGAAAGGCAGCTAGATCCAAGCCTTGATTCTGCATATTTCGGAATCACCTTCATGATCATGAAGGGTGTACGGCCGTGAACCCTTCATAGGTTCATTGGCCGTACACACCCTAAAAAGGGTCCAAATCGAGTGTTTTTTCCATCTCCTTGTTGAACATTAGACACACTATTTTTCCCCATGGATCAAAAACCTTTTTCATGCTTCTTCCATGAGTGTCCGGCCGTACACACTCATGGGCCGTACACACACTTTGGCCATGAACCCTTGGGCCGTGCACACCCATACACAATCACATGTGATTGTAATACTTAGTTTCAAGTGCACACCCGCGAGCCAAAAGGGTGACTAACCCCCAATGCAAATATCATCAGAAGCTTTGCTTCTCATGTGTGCACATTTATGGAAAAAGAATGAAGCAAAGTTCGGGATTGGTGGGCTGTCACGCATCATCATACACCAAAGAAAGAAGAGCTCATTTTTGGTGACCTGACCGGTTTCTTTGCAGGAAAAAACCGTACACGCCAAGATGCGATGGGCAATGCAGAGACACGGGTCAATGATGGAGGTTGCTTTATCCCGACCGGCACACGAAAAGATACCCCCGATTATTTCCATCCAAAAGGTCTCATGATTGAACCCAACAGGTAAGACGTCGAAAACCGTGGAGGTGTTTGAAGAAGAAGGCAAGCCCAAGATGTCATTTATTTTTGCAAAATCGATGTACCTTCGGTCCCCTAGATGTTGGAATGCGGCTTTTCTTTTTTCGCTATCGTACCAGCAATCGACAAAAAACTCTCTAGTGGGGAGCTCGTAAGTGTGCGCCATGAGGTTGAGAAGGTTTTGCCACCCTATATTACGGAACAATTGGGTGACCCCTTTAAGAACCCCAACGAAGTGAGTGTGGGTCTGCACACGAACTTGGTAGATGCAACCTTTCTAGGTAGGCTTTTCGTGTAGTTTTCGGCTGTCATGGCATCCCGAAATCTTGGAATGTTGGGCGCATCAGTTTGATTTCTAGCTGGGGCCTTGCCTCGGGCGGCAGCCGGGCGCTTCCTAGATGTGGATATGGACTAGTTGCACGAAAAAAATAACCACTACACAAACAACAATCTCAACAAGCGATATTTCAATCCAAATCACCAATCTACTCCCTATGGACTTCTAAAGCAGTTCAACAATCAAAGCAAGAAATAATTCCTAAACTCATATGATGCAATAGCATATGGAATGTTGTTCAGAGACATGCATATTGATCAATTAAAATAAACGACAGAAAGTACCCGTTTTGTTGAAAGTTCAAAATTTACCGCGAAAATTCGAGATTTGAAAATCTTGCAACTCTCCACCCTAAGCTTTAAGCTTTGTTCAATATCCCGTGAGAAGAACTTTACCGCGAAAACCCAAGGAATCCGACAATGGCTTGAAATTCCAGCGAAATTTTCCGGCGAGCTTTGGGAGATATTTTTGGTGGGGTTTGTAGCCTTGTCCAAGAAGATCACAATGGTGGTGTTGGAATCGCGAAAGGTGGTCGGAGTTAGCCGGAAAGCGGCGACTGAGTGGTGGTGGCGTCCAAAGTTACAACAACATATCAGACCGGTTTTTTAGTGAGGTTTGTAGAGCTCGGAAGTTGGTGAAGAATGGCGCTGGTCTTACGGAATTCCGACCGGCGGTTTGACGGGAAACTGAGTTTTAGTGGAGGAGAAGGAGGTGTTCTAATGGAAGTTAGGGGAGAAGAATGGAGAAGAAAAAGGGAAGAAAGGGCCGACTGGTAGTGTATATTGGTCTAATATCACGGTCAACACTGGTCAAAAATGAGTCAACGATGGTCAACAATACACACAGACGCGGAATTGGGTACACGCGGTCCGCGTGAATAAATCCGAAATCATTATGTTTCCCTTCATCACAGGCGGTCAAATGCTGGAGTATACACGGTCTGCTTTAATAAACACGCGGACGGAGTCGCGACTACAAGCGATCCGTGTGAATGGGCTTGAACCTTTTTTGTTTTCTGATGATGGACGCGGACACATGAGGATACCACACGCAGACCATTTGTTTATTATCGCGGACAGGTTCTGGAGTACACACGGTCCGCGTGAATTCTGTTGCATTTTTCTCCATTTTTGCTCTTTGACCAATACGAACACTGGGTCATCAAATCTAACATTCTTTTACCGCAAGAAGGAAGAAAAAGAGATGTTAAATGCAAAAATGGTCCATCTACGACATTTATTCGGAACTAGAAAAGATGAAAAATTTTAGTTTTCCAAAAATGCCCCTCTTTAACGTCTTTGGCGAGACGTGCTTCCCTTTTGATTTCAATACACTGGGGCATCCAATTGGATGAAATCTAGTACATTTGCATTAAAATCTTCATAGAAAGGTTTCAAACGATGCCCATTAACTTTAAAGATTTTCCCCGTTTCTTCACTTTGAATCTCAACTACTCCATGCTCAAAGACTTTTAACACAACAAACGGACCTATCCATCTTGACCTCAACTTTTCAGGAAATAATTTCAATCGTGAATGGTAAAGCTAAACCCTATGTCTCGGTTCGAAATGCTTGCGGTTAATGGAATTTCCATGGAAAAGCTTTGTCCTCTCATTGTAAATTCTTGAGTTTTCATAGGAGTTATTTAGCAACTCCTCCAACTCTTGAAGTTGAAGCTTTCTATGCCTTCCCGCCTCATCGATGTTGAAGTTTCATTGTTTGACCGCCCAAAATGCATGGTGTTCTAATTCCACGGGAAGATGACATGGTTTTCCAAAAACCAACCTAAATGGGGACATTCCTATCGCGGTCTTGTACACGGTCCGATAGGCCCACAAGGCATCATCAAGCCTTGAACTCCAGTCTTTTCTTGAGGGATTCACTATTTTCTCAAGTATACTCTTCACTTCACGATTCGAAACTTCCGCTTGACCATTTGTTTGAGGGTGGTAGGTTGTTGAAACACAGTGGGTCACGTTGTACTTCTTCAATAAAGCCTCCATCATCTTGTTGCAAAAGTGCATCCCCCTATCACTAATGAAATCCCTAGGCACACCAAACCTCACAAAGACATTAGATTTTAAAAAGTCGATAATTGTTTTGGCATCATCCGATCTTGTGGCTTTGTCTTCAACGCACTTAGAAACATAGTCAATCGCGAACAAGATGTAAACATTGCCAAACGAAACTGGGAATGGGCCCATGAAATCAATCCCCCATACGTCAAAATTTTCACAAACAAAGATTGGATTTTGTGGCATTTGATTATTTTGTGAAATGTTTCCCGTCCTTTGGCACCGTTCACAACTTTTGCAAAACAAGTAACAATCATGTGACATGGCCTAAATAGTCCACATTCAAGGACCTTTCTCAAGGTCCGACTAGGTCCAAAGTGTCCCCCACAAGCAAATTCATGACAAAATTGCAAAATGGATTGGTGCTCTTGTTGGGGTACACGTCGCCTAATGATTAGATCGGGACAATGTTTCCACAAATAAGGCTCATCCCACACATAATATTTTGCATCACTTTTCAACTTGTCTTTTTGAGCACGTGTGAATGTGTCGGGATACCTTTTTGTGACCAAAAAGTTAACGATATCGGCATACCAAGGAATAGATTAAGTAAGGGGAAAGAGATGCTCATCCAGAAACTCGTCCCGTAAAGGGAGAGGAGTTTCATTTGAAGTGATCCGGCTCAGGTGATCGGCAACAAGATTTTCACACCCACTCTTGTCCCGGATTTCCAAATCAAATTCTTGTAACAATAAAATCCACCGGATGAGTCTAGTCTTTGCATCTTTGTTCGTCATCAAGTACTTAAGAGCTGCGTGATCCGAATACACAATGACCTTGGTACCAAGTAGATATTATCTAAATTTCTCCAAGGCGAACACTATGAATAATAGCTACTTCTCCTAGTAGAGTAGTTGCTTTGAGCATTGTATAGTGTCCTCGATGCATAGTAGATCACATGGGAGGCTCATCCATTCTTTTGACCCAAAACGGCGCCTATTGCATAGTTGCTTGCATCACACATGATCTCAAATGTGAGATCCCAATTTGGAGCTTGCATGATGGGAGCAGACGTAAACAACTCTTTAAGCTTATCGAAAGCTTCTTTGCACACCTCATTGAACTCGAAATCAACATCCTTTTGAAAGAGTTGGCACATTGGTCTTGTTATCTTTGAAAAATCTTTGATGAATCTTCGGTAGAAACCTACATGGACCAAAAAAGAACGAACTTCCCAAACACAAGTCGTATAAGGTAAGCTTTGAATAACATCAATCTTGTCCTTATCTACCTCAATTCCTTTCTTTGACACAATATGACCCAAAATAAGACCTTGAATCACCATAAAATGATATTTTTCAAAATTTAAAACCAAATTTATTTCAATACATATTTTCAAAATTTTGGTGAGATTGATCAAACACTCTTGAAAGGAGTTTCCATATACTGTAAAATTATCCATGAAAACTTCAATTATATTTTCAACATATTCCGAAAAGATACTAACCATATAACGTTGGAAAGTGGCCGGGGCGTTACATAATCCGAATGGCATTCTCCGATATGCAAAAGTGCCAAATGGACATGTAAATGTTGTCTTTTCTTGGTCTTCCGGTGCCACCAGGATCTGGTGAAAACCGGAATACCCGTCTAGAAAACAATAATGGGATTTCTCATCCAACCTTTCTAATATTTGGTCAATTAAAGGCAATGGGAAGTGATATTTTCTTGTGCTAGCATTAAGTTTGTGGTAATCAATACATACTCTCCACCCGTTTTGCACACGGGTGGGGTCCATCATACCTTTGTTGTTCTCGACCACCATGATCCTCGTCTTCTTCGACACGACGTGAACCGGGCTCACCCATTTGCTATCCGAGATTGGATAGATCATTCTCGCATCTAAGAGCTTCAAAATCTCTTTCTTGACCACTTCCATCATTGGCAGATTCAACCTTCTTTGCGCGTCTCTACTTGGCTTGCATTCATCCTCCATTAAGATCTTATGTATACAAGTGGAGGGGCTCAAACCTTTGATATCTGCAATCGTCCAAACCATTGCTTCTTTATGTTCCCTCAACACCTTGAGGAGTTTTTTTCTTCACACTTGGTTAGGTGAGTCGAAGTGATGACCGGAAGAGTCTCGTTGTTTCCCAAGTATGCATGTTGAGGAAGGACCTTCAATTCTAATTTCAGCGGTTGGACAAGGGAGGGTGGCAATCTCGTGTGAGTTTGAGGTAACTCAATTTGCTTCCGACTAAATTGGGTGGTCTTCTTGATCCCTAAATTGTTGACCAATCTTTCAACTTCGGGATCTAATGAGTAGAGCTTCAACTTCTTGGATAATTTTCCACAATCAAACCCGTTGCTCGAAACCATCTTCAACATGTCACCATTAGACAAATCGAACAACTCTTGGGTTAATGCTTCAACAACATCAACAAATCACAAGGATGAAACATCACTAGGATATTTCATAGCATCATAAATGTTAAAGCTTATTGTTTCACCATCAAATTCCATTGTTAAGCTTCCCGCATACACATCAATATTTGTTCTAGCCGTCTTCAAGAATGGTCTCCCAAGTAAGGTTACAACCGATTTTGAGGATACTTGTTCATTTAGATCAATCACATAGAAATCCGTCGGGAAGGCCAATTGGTTCACTTGCATTAGGACATCTTCCAAAACACCTCTAGGAAAGACACCTGATTTATCCACAAGAGAGATTACAAAACCGATTTCACTTAAGGGTCTGACATTCAATGATTCATACACCGAATAGGGCATGACATTGATAGAGACACCAAGATC